CTCTTTATCTATATATTCATCTATTTTTGGAAAAGGAGAATAGAGTAGAGAGCAGATAAGCCTGAGTTTGGTAAGTCAAACTAATTGAGCTATTAGTAGAAAAAGAGAACAAGTGAGGCGAGGAAAAACAAAAGCATAAATTAAAAAAACAAAAACAATAAAACAAACAACAACATGAAGAAAGAACAAAATTGGCTAGAGAAGACAGAGAAAAGAGAAAGTTGCATGGACTTGGAGCAGGGAAGAGGAAACTAGATATAGGAGTAAGCCAACAGAGACTACTATAATAATAATGTGTCAATAAAGCAGCTAAAGAAGATCAATTTTTAACAAGGAGTAAAAAGAAAGGAGATCGAAAACCTAAAGCAGTAACAAGAGAAGAAAAACAGGGTGAAAAAAGTAGAAGTGAGAAGGAAAGGGTTGGCATAAAGGAAAAAATGAGATAGAGTAAAATAATGATAAAAAGTAAAAAAAAAACTATTAATGTAGAACACTAATTCAAAAAAAAGAAATAAATGAAAGGACAAATAATAATAAATAAAAATAATAAACAAAAAGATAAAATAAAGAGAAAAATTTAGTTTTTTAAGTAAAAGATAAACAAATAAAAAAGTGAAGTAATGAAGTTTGTTCATAGTCAGCACTGTGTTGAAGTTCCCAGCGATCCACTGTTCCTTTGTGTCAGACACCACAATCTTGGTTTCAGGCAAGTGGGATCAATTTGCCTACTTTGTTTTTCTGCCTGTTTTCAGTTGTATTTACACAAGCGTCTATTTCTGACATGGACTCTAGATGGCAGTATTTCTGTATTAGTTTCCGGGACCAAATGGCCCCTCAACCCAGTCCCTGAGGGCTCCCTGAGGAAATTTATAATATTTGTTTCCCTGTCGAGCTCAAGGTTGGATGTGGCTGCATTGCTAGGAGGGGCCTGGTCTTCAGGACAAAAATGTCTGTTCAGGGTTGGAAGGATTGACCTGTCCCAGAGCTGGCTTCCTGATCATCTCTCTCTATTTTGTTCCCCAGCTTCCACCAAAACACCTTCCCCTGCACCGTGGCCTTGGTGAGTGTTTGTAATTAAAAGATCCTATGCACTGGGTTTAGCCAGTAAAAGCAAGGAAATGATAAAGACAGAGAAACCGCGCCACTTCATGTCTCTCTCCCTGCAGCACTGCGTGGCCTGTGCAGAACTTCAGGCTTCCTTTCTGGGTGCAGCCTCCCATGTCTGTGGGCTTAGATCTAGAGTCCCCTGCTGCCAGCAGCCCTGTGGACCTGCTCCTATATTCAAGCACTACACTGTCCCCAAGGGACATGGATTTGGTGTAGCACAGTTTCCTTCTGAGACTCTAGTCCCAGCTGCACCTGTTTCTCCCTCCAGCCCAGATCCCTGATCCCACTTCTCTCCAGGTGACCTCTGACCTTTTCATCCATGGATTGTCTCACTAGCTGTATTTAATTCCTCCTTTCTTTTGTTAATGTGATGTATTACATTGATTGACTGAGAATGTTGAACCATCCTGTGCCCCTGGAATAAACTCCATTTGATCATGATGTGTCCAGGTGGATGTTATTCAATTCAGCTGTTTCTTCTATATGCTCCGTGAGAAGGTGCATGGCCCATCTGCCTTTTTGGCCACCATTTTGTCTCCCCCTGGACAAACGTTTTAGGAGCCTGCAGCCAGGGAGGCTGGAGTCTTGGTGTTCATGGGTTTGCAACCAAGGCAGCTGGTCCCTGGCCAGTGTGGCCGTAGGGTCCCAGGTGGTGTCTGAGATCTTCCTGGGTGGAGATGAGGCTGGGCTCCCAATCACAGCCGCTCTCCCCTTCAAGATGGTGTGGACTCTACAGCAGAGCCAACTGCCCCGGGACATATTTCATCAGTAGTAGAGTCTCCCGGCTAGGGGAGCCTGGTCTGCCAGTCCCCAGCAGTCCTGCGGAATATAACTGTCCCTCACTCACACATACACACACGCCCCACACATCCACACACTCCTCTTTAGCTCTCTCACTCACTCAAACTCTCTTCTTCAATGCTGTCCTGTCAGCTGCCATCATGGATCTCTCTCTTTGCTTCTTGATGAGTCTGGATAATGGTTTATCAATTTTGTTTATCCTTTCAAAGAACTGTCACTTGGTTTCATTTACTTTTTGTAGTGGTTTTTTTTTAGTCTCTATGTTATTCATTTCTGCTCCATCCTTATAATTTCTTTCCTTCTACTTACTACGGGCTTTTCTTTTTGTTCTATTTCTAGTTCCTTAAGTTGTAGAGTTATATAGTTTATTGCTGAGTTTTCTTGATTTTTGAGGTAGGCCTGTAGTGCTAGGAACTTCCCTCTCAGGACTGTTTTTGCTGTGTCCCATAGATTTTGAGTTGTTGGTGTTCATTTTCATTTGTTTCAAGGAAGTTTTTTATTTCTTTCTTGACCTCATTGGTAAACCATTGTTTAATAACATGCTATTTTGCCTCCATGTGTTTGAATGTTTTGGGGTGTTTTGCTGTAGTTGATTTCTAATATTATGTCATTGTGATCTGAGAAGATTCTTGATATGATTTCAATCTTCTTGAACTTGTAGAGACTTGTTTTGTCTCTTAACATGTGGCCTATCTTTGTGAATGATCCATGTGCACTTGAGAAGAATGTATATTCTGCTGCTTTGGAGTGAAATGTTCTATAAATGTCAATTAAATCCATCTGATCCAGTGTGTCCTTTAGAGTCTCTGTTTCCTTGTTAAGTTTTTGTCTGGAAGATCTATCCAGTGAAGTCAGTGGGGTGTTAAAGTTCCCTACTATAACTATATTGTTGTCAATCTCTTCCTTAAATTTCTCCAGAAGTTTTTTATATATTTTGGTGCTCCTATATTGGGTGCATATATGTTTATCAGGGTTATATCCTCTTGTTGGATTGATCACTTTAATATTATGTGGTGACCATTCTTGTCTCTTGTGATAGCCTTCATTTTGTATTCTATTTTGTGGGATATGAGTATTGCTACTCCAGCTTTTCCCCCCCCATTTCCATGGATATATTTTTCCCATCCATTCACTCTCATCCTGTGTGTCTTTTGATTTGAGGTGGGTCTCTTATAGACAGCATGTAGTTGGGTCATGTTTTTTATCCATTCAGCTACCTTATGCCTTTTGATTGGAGCATTTAATCCATTCACATAGGGTTATTATTGATAGGTACTTATTTATTGACATTTTAATTCGGTATGCCTAGGTTTCTATCTCTCTTTCTTCTTCTCATTACAGCAGTCACCTCAGCATTTCTTATAATGTACTCCTTTAGCTTTTTTTCTTTTTTTCTGTGAAGCTCTTTATTTGACTGTCTATTTTCTATGATAGCCTTGGTGGATATAGTAATCTTGGTTTCAGATCCTTGCTTTTCATTACCTTGAGTACTTCATGCCATTCTCTTCTGTCTTATAGAGTTTCTGATGAGAAATTATGTGTCATCCTTATGGAAACACCTTTGTAGATAACAGTATGCTTTTATCTTGTTGCCTTTAAGATTCTCTCTTTGTCTTTAATTTTTGGCATTTAAATTATGATGTGTCTGGGCATGGGCCTGTTTGGGTTCTTCTTGCTTGGTTTTCTCTGTGCCTCCCCAACTTGTGTGACTTTTTCCTTTACCAGCTTAGTGGAGTTTTCTGCCATTATTTCTTCAAATATGTTTTCTATCCTTTTCTCCCCTTCTGCCTCTTCTGGCAATCCTGCTATGCTTATATTGTTACTTTTCACGTTGTCCCACAGCTTCCATAAGCTGTCCTCCTGTTTTGTAATTGTTTTTTTTTTCTTCTTTTTGGTTCTCTAATTGTGTGATTTTTTTCAACCCTGACTTCTAATTCACTGATTCAGTTTCAGCTTCCCCTAATATGCTGTATATTCCTTGCAATGTGTTCTTTAGTTGTGTTATGTCATTCTTTATTTCTGACTGTTCTTTTTACATAGTTACTATATCTTTTTTATGCTGTTGAACATCTTTACCATCATTACTCTGAACTCTGTTTGAGATAAATTTCTTATCTCTGCTTCATTTATCTCTTCTTCTCGATAATTCTCTAATTTTTTCATTTGGGTTTTTTTTTCTTTGTCTCCTCATTTTGGATGTCTGTTTGAATTTGTGACTATGTTTTAGGTAGATCCTCTACGCCTCTCAATTTCTAGTGCAGGACAGTGTCAAAGGATGTTTTTGACTAATTAGATCAGGCAAAGACTCAAAGCCTCCAGAGTCCACCTCTGCCTACAGGCTGATAGGATTCCGATTTGAATTGCCCCCCCAGGCAATGCTCCTCAGTTGTGAGGAGTGGTGTTTTTGTTTTTTGTTTTTTAACAAAGTAATGCAGTTGCTATTGCTTGGAGGGTAATTGTTATTTTTAGTCTTTTAAGTGGCTTCAGGGCAAGGTGTTTTCCAATAGGGTGGGTCTTCTGTCTTCCCCCCCAGGTAAGGCAAATGTCTGTGTGGGAAAGATGTCCTCTGTTTTGTGAGGGAATGACTCAGCCCAGGAATCTGGGGGTATCTGCCTTCTGATCTCTAACCCCTGGGTCCCCAATCCTGGCTTCTGCTCACACAGTTCCAGTCCACTCTGCCCTCCTTCTGCTGGAACACCATGTGGGTGGCTCCACAGGGAATTTTGTGCATTGGCTGTTTACAAAGGTGCCTGAATTTTTCAGCCATCACTTCCTGGCAGAGAGCAACCCCTCTACTTTTCACAGTCAGATGTTTTGTGGGTCTCCTTCTCAGTTCTGGTGCTCTCTTCTGGGGGGCCCAACTTGGGGATTAGATCCAAAAGCTCTCAGTGGCAAACCCCCACAGCTGAGATATCTCTATGGAACTTCAGTTGCTGTCTGTGGGCCCCTGGCCAGCCCTTTGGCACCTGCACCCCTCCTACCAATCTCTATGTGGTCTCCACCTTTGGTCCTCAGATATCAGGGTTCTCTCCAGCCAATCTTACTTTAAGTATTCAGGAAGTATTTCTGTATTTTAGTTGTAATTCCTGTTTGTTCCTGGAAGCATGTCCATGCAGCATCCACTTACTCTTCTGCCATTTTTAATCTCTTGTATTTGTTTATTGTTTCTAATAATGTTTTAGTGGAGTCTTTAGGGTTCTCTATATACAGTATCTGATTGTTTGCAAAAGTGACAGTTTATCTTTTTCATTACCTATTTAGATGTCTTCTATTTCTTTCTCTTGCCTTGTTGCTCTGCTAGGACTTACAGCACTAAGTTGAATGAGAGAGATGAGAATGGACATCCTTGTTTTGTTCCTGATCTTAGAGGAAAAGCTTTCAGTTTTTCACCATTGAGAATGATTTTAGCTGAGGGTTTATCATATATGGCCTTTATTATGTTGAGGTTCTTTCCTTCTATTCCTATTTTACTGATTGTTTTAATCATAAATGGATGTTGTACCTTATAAATTGGTTTTTCTGCATCTACTGATAAGATCATATGATTTTTATCCTTTCTTTTGTTAATGTGATGTATTACATTGATTGACTGAGAATGTTGAACCATCCTGTGCCCCTGGAATAAACTCCATTTGATCATGATGTGTTATTTTTTGGATGTACTATTGTATTCAATTTGCTAGTATTTTGTTTAGGATATTTGAGTCTGTATTCATCAGGGATATTTGTCTATAGTTTTCTTTTTTGTATTATTTTTGCCAGGTTTTGCTGTCAGAGTTATAGTAGCCTCATAGAATGTGTTAGAGATTATTGCTTCTTCTAAATTTTTTTGGAAGATTTTGAGAAAGATAGGTTTTAAATTTTCTTTGAACATCTTATAGAATCCACTGATGAAGCCATCTGGTCCTGGAATTTTGGTTTTTGGGAGGATTTTGATTGTTGTTTCAATTTCCTAACTGCTGATCAGCCCATTTAGATTTCCAATTCTTCATGATTTAGCTTAGGAAGGTTATATATTCCTAGGAACTTATCCATTTCTTCTAGGTTATTGAATTTGGTGGCATAAAGTCTTTCATAATATATCTTTGAAGTCTGTGGTGACTTCTCTCTCATTTCTGATTTTGTTTGTATGGGTCTTTTCCACTTTTTTATTAGTGAGTCTTACCATGGGCTTGTCAATATTCATAATCCTTTCAAAATGCCAGCTCTTTGATTTAATAGGTTTTTTTGTATAGTCTTTTTGTTCACTATTTCATTTTATTCTGCTCTAAACTTCTTTCTTCTGTTGACTTTGTGTTGCTTTTGTTCTTCTTTTCCTAGTTCTTTAAGATGTACTGTTACATTGTTTACTTGGGAATTCTCCTGTTTCTTGAGATCGACCTAACAGTGATGGCGAACCTATGACATGCTTCTCAGAGGTGACACCCAAACTCATTTTTTTGGTTGATTTTTCTTTGTTAAATAGCATTTAAATATATAAAATAAATATCAAAAATATAAATCTTTGTTTTACTATGGTTTCAAATATCAAAAAATTTCTATATGTGACACTGCACCAGAGTTAAGTTAGGGTTTTTCAAAATGCTGACACGCCGAGCTCAAAAGGTTCACCATCACTGGCCTATAATGATATAGACTTCCCTGTTACTACTTTCACTGCATCCCAGATGGTTTTTTTTTAATATTTATTGTTCAGATTATTACAGATGTTCCTCTTTTCCCCCCCGTAGCTCTTCTCCACCTGGTTCCCACCCCACTCCATGCTTTCACCCCTCACTGTACTCGTCCATAGGTGTGATTTTTGTCCAATTTCTTCCCACCCCCCCACACCCTCTTCCCCCCGAGAATTGTCAGTCCACTCCCTTTCCATGCCCCTGATTCTATTACATTCATCACATTATTCTGTTCATCAGATTTTTTTTATTCATTTGATTTTTAGATTCACTTGTTGATATTTATGTATTTGTTGTCACTTTGTTGTTCATAATTTTTTATCTTTACCTTTTTCTTCTTCTTCCTCTTCTTAAAGAATACCCTTCAGCATTTCATATAATACTGGTTTGGTGGTGAT